CACACACAGACACACACAGACATATACATACAGACAGATACAAACAGACACGCACAGACACACACAGACACACACACACAGACGCACACAGACACACACAGAATGAGCCTGTGAGCCACGCGCATGACTCTCATTATCGGGGTGAGTGTTGTGTGAGTGGGTGAGTGTTGCGTGAGTTGGTGAGCGTTGTGTGAGTGGGTGAGTGTTGCGTGCGTGGGTGAGTGTTGTGTGAGTGGGTGAGTGTTGTGTGAGTGGGTGAGTGTTGCGTGAGTGGGTGAGTGTTGCGTGAGTTGGTGAGCGTTGTGTGAGTGGGTGAGTGTTGTGTGAGTGGGTGAGTGTTGTGTGAGTGGGTGAGTGTTGCGTGAGTGGATGAGTGTTGTGTGAGTGGGTGAGTGTTGTGTGAGTGGGTGAGTGTTGCGTGAGTGGGTGAGTGTTGTGTGAGTGGGTGAGTGTTGTGTGAGTGGGTGAGCGTTGTGTGAGTGAGTGAGTGTTGTGTGAGTGGGTGAGTGTTGTGTGAGTGGGTGAGTGTTGTGTGAGTGGGTGAGTGTTGTGTGAGTGAGTGAGTGTTCCGTGAGTGGGTGAGTGTTGCGTGAGTGGGTGAGTGTTGTGTGAGTGGGTGAGTGTTGTGTGAGTGGGTGAGTGTTGTGTGAGTGGGTGAGTGTTGTGTGAGTGGGTGAGTGTTGTGTGAGTGGGTGAGTGTTGTGTGAGTGGGTGAGCGTTGTGTGAGTGGGTGAGTGTTGTGTGGGTGAGTGGTGTGTGAGTTGGTGAGCGTTGTGTGAGTTGGTGAGCGTTGCGTGCGTGGGTGAGTGGGTGAGTGGGTGAGTGTTGTGTGAGTGGGTGAGTGTTGTGTGAGTGGGTGAGTGTTGTGTGAGTGGGTGAGCGTTGTGTGAGTGGGTGAGTGTTGTGTGAGTGGGTGAGTTTTGTGTGAGTGGGTGAGCTTTGTGTGAGTGGGTGAGTGTTGTGTGAGTGGGTGAGTGTTGTGTGCGTGGGTGAGTGTTGTGTGAGTGGGTGAGTGTTGTGTGAGTGGGTGAGTGTTGTGTGAGTGGGTGAGTGTTGTGTGAGTGGGTGAGTGTTGTGTGAGTGGGTGAGTGTTGTGTGAGTGGGTGAGTGTTGTGTGAGTGGGTGAGTGTTGTGTGAGTGGGTGAGTGTTGCGTGAGTGGGTGAGTGTTGTGTGAGTTGGTGAGCGTTGTGTGAGTGGGTGAGTGGGTGAGTGGGTGAGTGTTGTGTGAGTGAGTGAGTGTTGTGTGAGTGGGTGAGTGTTGTGTGAGTGGGTGAGTGTTGTGTGAGTGGGTGAGTGTTGTGTGAGTGGGTGAGCGTTGTGTGAGTGGGTGAGTGTTGTGTGAGTGGGTGAGTTTTGTGTGAGTGGGTGAGCTTTGTGTGAGTGGGTGAGTGTTGTGTGAGTGGGTGAGTGTTGTGTGCGTGGGTGAGTGTTGTGTGAGTGTTGTGTGAGTGGGTGAGTGTTGTGTGAGTGGGTGAGTGTTGTGTGAGTGGGTGAGTGTTGTGTGAGTGGGTGAGTGTTGTGTGAGTGGGTGAGTGTTGTGTGAGTGGGTGAGTGTTGTGTGAGTGGGTGAGTGTTGCGTGAGTGGGTGAGTGTTGTGTGAGTTGGTGAGCGTTGTGTGAGTGGGTGAGTGGGTGAGTGGGTGAGTGGGTGAGTGTTGTGTGAGTGAGTGAGTGTTGTGTGAGTGGGTGAGTGTTGTGCGAGTGGGTGAGTGTTGTGTGAGTGGGTGAGTGTTGTGTGAGTGGGTGAGCGTTGTGTGCGTGGGTGAGTGAGCGGATGATGCGCGATTGGCAAGCGTGCGGAGCGAGGACAATGGGACGCGGGGGACAATGAGGGCGAGGACAATAGGATGGCGAGGCGGGGGGGGGACAATGGAGGGTTGTGTTTGTTGTCGAGTTACGGCAGAGGGGGTGGAGAGAGAGGGGTCACTCTCGCCCGAGCGACCCCAAACGCAACAATTTACGCGGCTCTTTTTGTTTCGGGCCAATTTGCATGATTGTTTCACTTGACAGCCCTTGCCAGCGCGTGATGGATTAGCGTGGGCGGGTGGGGAGGTCGAGGTGGAGCGGTGGCGCAGCGATTAGCGCATTTCGTCGTGCACCCAGCCGGCAGTGAACGCCGCAAATTCCCGAGTTCCTTTCCCCCGGAGATCGGCTACTGACATTCGTGGTGATCGGGATTGGTGCTGGACCTAGGGGAGGCCCAGGACCGGTTCAGAGACGAGTCACTGCGAGTGGGTGGTGAGAGCGAAACGCATACGGGTCGCCGGGATCGTAGCGCAGTGCGCTAACCACTGACACCACCGCTCCCCAAAAGACAAAGATCCCGGTATAGCCTGTAACAGACTGTAGGGGCAAGTGCTGTTAACGAGCACCTATGAAGGCCGGAATGGGACACGAGGCGGTGGGTGGCCAGCACCACGCCCGACCGCCTTTGTCTCCCCAGTGGCGATGTTTACTACACACCGCACCAGGTACTCATTTGAGGCTGAGTCGACCTATGGGAGGCCCATGGCCCGTTCAGATAGTCGTCACCGGTGTTGTCGCGGCGAAGCGCTAGCCAGCTCCACACACATTCACAAACCGCACGAACTCCCGGCACAAAAAAACCATTCACACGTATAGACAAAGATCCCCCGTATAGTCTCTTGGGGTAAGGGGCCGTCCATAATGACGTCACGCACCCAGGGAGGGAGGGGGGGTCAGACATTTGTGACGATATGTGACGAGGGTGGGGGGGGGGGTGTTGAGAAATGTGACGTCACACCAAAATGCGCAAATTTAAATAAACATAGACAACACGTTCTACTTAATTAAATAGATTTTTTAATAAATGTTTTCTCCTACAACATCAGAGTGCAGCGCCACATTAAATACCCACTACAATGACAATAGTTTAAAGCCATTTGAAGCATGTTTTATATATTTTTGGGGGGGGGGGAGGCAGAGCTTTGTGACGTCATACTTGAGGGGGGGGGCGGGGGTCTCACTTTTTCTGACGCCAGGCTCGGTGAACTTCAAAGCCACGCGAATTGTCACGGGACAGACCCAGAAGCCATGCGTTTACCGACTGGAGGTACAGGGTGCGTTCAGACGACGTGTCACACACCCACAACAACACCCACAGCCGACATTCGCCGCTATGGGGCGGTGACGTCACCACGGAGCTTGTGCCAGGCTATGTGCGCTTCAAGGCCACGTGAAGTGCACATACGCCCGCTGACAGGTCACGGGACAGACCCAGGCGCCATGAGCACTGTTACACTGTTTTTTTATTGCTTTATTTTGGCGACTTTGAAAAGCTTTGGCTTAGCCATGTTTGTATTTTGTAGTACGGAGTTAGCGTGATAACTTTAATAAACATTGCCTTACGGTGGTTATTGTTTGACTCGCATCTCATTGGGAAGACTTTGCTGTTCTTTCCAGGATGTTCCCGTTGCGTGTAGTCACCTTAAGATGCTTTCTTGTTTCGTGTTTTTGTTTTTTTGCGGGTGGCACCCGAGCTCACGGGGTTATACCTCATATATGTAAAAGGCAAAGTTGTGATTGCGTGTGTCTGTTCGAAATGTTTTTAGCGTACTTCCCGACATGCAACAAACTTGAAATTTGCCATGTGGGTACTTTCCAGACTGTACACCATGCAACAATTATTAAAATACACTTATTTTGGGGGGGGGGGGGGGGGGGGGGGGAGCTCAATAATGCATTTATTTTTTGCACGGCAAGTGAGCTGTGACGTCAAATCTGTCACGTGACCCGCGCACGTGGAAGCGTAACGCATTGCAGTGTAGCGGTTAGCACGCTGTCTGTGTGTCTGTGTGTGTGTATCTGTGTGTGTATCTGTGTGTGTGTCTGTGTGTGTGTCTGTGTGTGTGTGTATCTGTGTGTGTATCTGTGTGTGTATCTGTGTGTGTGTCTGTGTGTGTGTCTGTGTGTGTATCTGTGTGTGTATCTGTGTGTGTATCTGTGTGTGTGTCTGTGTGTGTGTCTGTGTGTGTGTGTATCTGTGTGTGTATCTGTGTGTGTGTGTGGGGAGCGGTAGTGTAGTGGTTAGCGCTACGCCACGCTACGAACCCGGCGACCCGACTTCGATTCCCGCTCACGGCCACCACCGGTGACGATTATTTGAACCGGTCCTGGGCCTCCCCCAGGTCGACTCAGCCTCAAACGAGTAACTGGTTGCGGTGTGTGAACATCGCCACTGGGGAGACAAAGGCGGCCGGGCGTGGTGGATCCAAGTCCCTGGCGAAGCCGGGTAGTACAGCTAGTTACTAATAAATGAAACTGAAACTGAACGTGTTGACCTGCTGAGATGAGTGGCCGATCCATCACACGTGTGCCTCCCCGCTGTGCCAACTCGCGGTGCTTGAACCGCCCGGCCCTCTGCCCCGTTGCTGGAGGCCGACTGCCCTCCAGCTGCCCAGAATGACCTCGCGCCTCACGTGGGACGTGTTGAACAATCATCGGGTGCATGCAGCGTGGGACCAGTTCGTACACACTGGAATGGGGAGGCCTACATTTTTGGTAAAACGCGGTGATGGGCTGCGAGGATTGAGGTTCGGGAGCAGCGTTTCTGTAGGATGCTCACTTGCCAATCAACACCTTGAAGATGATGATGATGATGTTGATTGTAACCACACACACACACATCATAAAATACAAAGACCTCCCCGTGTAGCCTGCACGCGAGCGGCTTGGTGCGGACATCTTCACGCCCCGGCAAAAACCCACGCCACCGTGCACACAAAGACAAAGACGCCCCGTGCGGACGGGTAGCTCGTTGGGGCAAGTGCTGCACCACACCCAGACAAAGACCCCCCCTCCCCCACCCCCCCTACCCCCCCAAAGTGCCGCTATTGAGCACCGTGGGAAGCCGAGGCGAGCACACGAGGCGGTGTGTGGCAAGCGCTACGCCCGGCCGCCTTTGTCTCCCCCAGTTGCTGACGTCAACACCACCGAATCCAGGGCCCCACGACCGGGTTTCAGATGTTTCCCGCTCTTACCAGTCACGAGTGGGGGGTCGATGTTGCTAACCACCGCGCCACCGCTCCCCACCACACCCCGGACGCGGGCTGCCGTCTCCATTAGCACCGACCCCACGCGGCCATCTTAATTACGACGCCAACGTCATCATTGCTCCGGCGCGCGCCTGATTGTGACGTCGTCGTGATGTCATTCGGTTGCCTCGCCCAGCGAAGACCCTCCCAGTGAGTCTCAAGCCTCTCACCTGCCAAGTTGTTGGTAGGAGGCGTGGGCGCTGCTGCTGCTGCCCCTGGCGTTGCTGCGTGATCCCGAGTGGGTGATTGTGCAGGTTTGGCCGATCCCGGTTCACGCTGTTGTGGTGGAGGTTTGTTGTCACTGTGCCAGGGAGCACGGCCGGGTGAAGGTTCTGGTAGGGCCGAGAGGCACTTTTGTCTCACTGGTCCCTCTCTAGACCTGCTGCTGCTGCTGCTCCTGCTGCTGCTCCTGCTGCTGCTGCTCCTGCTGCTGCTCCTGCTGCTGCTCCTGCTGCTGCTGCTCCTGCTGCTGGTCGTGCTGCTCCTGCTCCTGCTGCTCCTCCTGCTGCTGCTGCTCCTGCTGCTCCTCCTGCTGCTGCTGTTGCTCCTGCTGCTGCTGCTGCTCCTCCTGATGCTGCCCGTGTCACTGCTGCTGCTGCTCCTCCTGCTGCTGCTCCTGCTGCTCCTCCTGCTGCTCCTGCTTCTCCTGTTGCTGCTCTTGCTCCTGCTGCTGCTCCTGCTGCTCATCCTGCTGCTGCTGCTGCTCCTGCTGCTGCTCCTGCTGCTCTTCCTGCTGCTGCTACTGCTACTGCTGGTGCTCCTGCTGCTCATCCTGCTGCTGCTGCTCCTCCTGCTGCTCATCCTGCTGCTGCTGCTGCTCCTGCTGCTGCTGCTACTGCTGCTCCTGCTGCTGCTGCTCGTGCTCCTCCTGCTGCTCCTGCTGCTGCTCCTGCTGCTCCTCCTGCTGCCCCGTGTCACTGCTGCGAGCGCTGTGACTCGCTCAAGCTGATTACAAACACCTGTCTCGATCAACCCAGAGGGCAACGCAGCTGCCGCCTTGGCTAACCCTGGCACCGCTACCCTCTACTGACAATGAGATTGTGCTAAAAACGCATTTTCAAGAATTTCGTTTGCTAAGTTTGCAATGAACAAAAAACTAATCTCCGGTCTTTAATTTATCTCTCACCTTCTGGAAAAAAAGACGATTGACATGAAGCTGCCTCTTTATATATACACCGTGCCTATCCTAGCTATATAAATATATTTATTCAAGAAGATATTGGTTAATTTTTTTTAAATCATACAAACAAAAACATGGTCAACATTTTCTCGTAGGCCCTAAGCATAGTGCCTACTGTGTCCATTGGATAATCCAGCCATAGTGGGTGACTGGGTGGCTGGGTGAGTGGGTGGCTAGGCGAGTAGGTGGCTGGGCGAGTGGGTGGCTGGGTGAGTGGGTGGGTAGGTGAGTGGGTGGCTGGGTGAGTGGGTGGCTGGGTGAGTGGGTGGCTGGGTGAGTGGGTGTCTAGGTGAGTGGGTGTCTAGGTGAGTGGGTGTCTAAGTGAGTGGGTGGCTGGGTGAGTGGGTGGCTGGGTGAGTGGGTGGCTGGGTGAGTGGGTGGCTGGGTGAGTGGGTGGCTGGGTGAGTGGGTGGCTGGGCGAGTGGGTGTCTAGGTGAGTGGGTGGCTGGGTGAGTGGGTGTCTAGGTGAGTGGGTGTCTAGGTGAGTGGGTGTCTAGGTGAGTGGGTGGCTGGGTGAGTGGGTGTCTAGGTGAGTGGGTGGCTGGGTGAGTGGGTGGCTGGGTGAGTGGGTGACTGGGTGAGTGGGTGGCTGAGCGAGTGGGTGTCTAGGTGAGTGGGTGGCTGGGTGAGTGGGTGGCTGGGTGAGTGGGTGGCTGGGTGAGTGGGTGGCTAGGTGAGTGGGTGGCTAGGTGAGTGGGTGGCTGGGTGAGTGGATGGCTGCGTGAGTGGGTGGCTGGGCGAGTGGGTGGCTGGGTGAGTGAGTGGGCAAGTGGGTGGCTGGGTGAGTGGGTGGCTGGGTGAGTGGGTGGCTAGGTGAGTGGGTGGCTAGGTGAGTGGGTGGCTAGGTGAGTGGGTGGCTGGGTGAGTGGGTGGCTGGGTGAGTGGGTGGCTAGGTGAGTGGGTGGCTAGGTGAGTGGGTGGCTGGGCAAGTGGGTGGCTGGGCGAGTGGGTGGCTGGGCGAGTGGGTGGCTAGGTGAGTGGGTGGCTGGGTGAGTGAGTGGGTAAGTGGGTGGCTGGGTGAGTGAGTGGCTGGGTGAGTGAGTGGACCGAAGGCACAGTGTCTACTGTGGCCTATGGGATACTACGGCCCTGGCAAAAACCCAAAGCAAATCCATGCAGAACAGGGGGACAGAACACACACAACAACAACCGCCATTCGCCACTAAGTGGCGGTGACGTCACCACGACGCTTGTGCCAGGCCATGTGCACCTTGAGGCCACGTGAAGTGTCGAACGCCCGCTGGCAGGTCACAGGGCAGACCCAGGTGCCACGGGTCGACTGACTGAGATGACTGAGATGACTGGCTGATGCACCACCTGTGCCCTCTACTGTGCCAACCTGCTGTGCTTTAGCCACCCGGCGCTCCGCTCGTTGTTGTGAGCGTCGCTCCTCCGCCCTCCGTTGTTGTTGGAGGGCGACTGCCTCCAACTGCCCAGTAGCGTCCTTCACGAGCCTCCTCCACAGAGGCCGATCTTGACACCGCTGGTACCAGTCATCGGCAAGTCCACTCAGCTCCACGTCCTCCTGTACCACGTCACTCCATCTCTTCTCTAGCCCGTCCCGCGCCCGTTTAGCCCCCTCGATCCGGCCGAACAAAAGCTGTTTCGGCATGCGGTGGCTGGCATGCGGGCTACATGACCCAGCCATCGCAGCCTTGCCCGCCGGAGGAGCTCACCGATGGGACCGTGCCCAGATCTTTCAAGGATTTGTGAGCTCCTCACACAATCCAGCCTGGTTAAACCCAGGATGGATCGTAGGCAGGCCAGCCTAAATCTTTCTAACCGGCGAAGATGTTCCATTAGGGGGGTCCACGTTTCGCAAGCGTAGAGAAGGGAGAGAATGACCGTGGCCGAGAAGATCTGAAGCTTAGTGCGGAGCGACAGACCAGGTAGCATCCACACAGCGTTGCGCAACCGATGAAAAGATATTGCCGCTCGACTGATTCGGAGTGAGATCTCTGCTGTTAAACTAGAGCCAGTCATAAGCACACTGCCCAGGTATGGGAAACTCTCCACTCTCTCCACAACTGCCCCATCACCGATTGACAGACACTCACACACACTCACACACACTCACACACACACTCACATACACTCACACACACTCATAAGTACTGCGTGTGGTTAATGCAGTAATTTGGTTCTTTGCAAAAGGGTTCTATTTGGTTCTTTCGGTAAAGTCACGTAGTAGTTAGAATACAAATAAAAATCACTTTTACGTATTTTCTACCTACGTGATGACTTCACCCAAAATAACTAAAGAGTATGGAATCACTGCAGTCAAGATTGGTTCCATTTGATGTTTGGACATCCGAACACAGCGGTTTCAGAGGCGTAAAGGGTAGGAACCCGCTTCCTATCGTTCACCATCACAGTGAGTTGGTCGGCAGGTCGCGTGCGGTGTGAGCAGCTCCCTCCGCTCCCTCCCAGCAGGCAAATCATCCCAGCGCAGCCCCTGCAACTGCACGGCGCACGTCACTGCTGGCGGAAGGGGGGGGGAGGAGTCTTCACTAGAGGCCGCTGTAGAGAGCTAGAGGGTATGTTGCCTACTCTTCCACGCAGACCAAACGAGAAAGGTTGGGGGGGTGGGGGTGGGGGGGGGGGTTACCCACACTTTACCCCACCACACGCCACACTGACTGACTGACGACTGTGGCTGAACACATTGAATCCCTGCCGCACCAGGAGGCGATCACCCTCTGGATTGCAAGCCAAGCGTAGCGGGCCTTCAATGTAGAAGTTGAACACGGAGTTTGGCTTTCGCGACCAATATTATCAAAATTATATATAATATTATTGTTATTTTTTTTTTTTGGGGGGGGGGGGGGTCAGATCGCGTAAATGTGTCATTAAACCCGCCACCACCCGACACAGCCAATGAGTTAATGTTTGTCACGTAAACAGAACGTGCCGATTCGTTACTAGGACAGAAACACCGGCGCGTGAAGATGTATCCATCATTAGAAGAAGATGTTCAAGGCTCAAGGTTTGTCAACAAGGGGACGACCCAAGAGGCCCCGAAGAGGCTCGCGTTTTCCGGCGGTGTGGCAGGACCCTCTTAACATGTGTCACGAGATTCACAGAGGACTCTGCTGGCTGGAGGTGGCGGTCTCTCTGTTGAGCCGTGGTGGTGACATCTGCTGGCTTAGAGGGAGAATGACCAATGGGTTAACCGCTCAAAGATTCAGGCCAACCACCCCAACCTCACCCACCCACTTAACACCTCAACCACCCACACACCAACCTCACCCACACACCAATCTCACCCACACACCAACCTCACCGCCTAACCACTCACCAACCTCACTCACTCGCCAACCTCACCGCCTAACCACTCACCAACCTCACCCACCCACACACCAACCTCACTCACCAACCTCACCCACTCACCCACCAACCTCACCGCCTAACCACTCACCAACCTCACTCACTCGCCAACCTCACCCACCCACACACGAAACTCACCCACACACCAAACTCACCGCCTAACCACTCACTAACCTCACTCACTCGCCAACCTCACCCAACCACACACCAATCTCACCCACCCACCAAACTCACCCATCCACCCACACACCAAACTCATCCACCCACCAAACTCACCCACCCACACACAAAACTCACCCACCCACACACCAAACTCACCCACCCACACACCAAACTCACCCACCCACCCACCAAACTCACCCACCCACACACCAAACTCACCCACCCACACACCAAACTCACCCACCCACACACCAAACTCACCCACCCACCAAACTCACCCACCCACACACCAAACTCACCCACCCACACACCAAACTCACCCACCCACACACCAAACTCACCACCCACATACCAAACTCACCCACCCACACCAAACTCACCCACACACCAAACTCACCCACCCACCAA